CTGGGCGCGCTGCCCGCGGGCGCCGGGGCGCAGCCGTACCACGGCGAGAAGGGCATCTCGGTGCCCGACCACGGCTTCTGCCAGCCCATCTCCATCCCGCTGTGCACGGACATCGCCTACAACCAGACCATCCTGCCCAACCTGCTGGGCCACACGAACCAAGAAGACGCGGGCCTCGAGGTGCACCAGTTTTACCCGCTGGTGAAGGTGCAGTGCTCGCCGGAGCTGCGCTTCTTCCTGTGCTCCATGTACGCGCCCGTGTGCACGGTGCTGGAGCAGGCCATCCCGCCGTGCCGCTCCCTGTGCGAGCGCGCGCGCCAGGGCTGCGAGGCGCTCATGAACAAGTTCGGCTTCCAGTGGCCCGAGCGGCTGCGCTGCGAGAACTTCCCCGTGCACGGCGCCGGCGAGATCTGCGTGGGCCAGAACACGTCCGACGGCTCCGGGGGCCCCGGCGGCGGGCCCACCGCCCAGCCCACCGCGCCCTACCTGCCCGAGCTGCCCTTCACCGCGCTGCCCCCCGGGGCCGGCGACGACCGGGGCCGCTCGCCCTTCCCCTTCTCGTGCCCTCGCCAGCTCAAAGTGCCCCCCTACCTGGGCTACCGCTTCCTGGGCGAGCGCGACTGCGGCGCCCCGTGCGAGCCGGGCCGCGCCAACGGCCTCATGTACTTCAAGGAGGAGGAGAGGCGCTTCGCCCGCCTCTGGGTGGGCGTGTGGTCGGTGCTGTGCTGCGCCTCGACGCTCTTCACCGTGCTCACCTACCTGGTGGACATGCGGCGCTTCAGCTACCCGGAGCGGCCCATCATCTTCCTGTCGGGCTGCTACTTCATGGTGGCCCTGGCGCACGTGGCCGGCTTCCTGCTGGAGGACCGCGCCGTGTGCGTGGAGCGCTTCTCGGACGACGGCTACCGCACGGTGGCGCAGGGCACCAAGAAGGAGGGCTGCACCATCCTCTTCATGGTGCTCTACTTCTTCGGCATGGCCAGCTCCATCTGGTGGGTCATCCTGTCGCTCACCTGGTTCCTGGCGGCCGGCATGAAGTGGGGCCACGAGGCCATCGAGGCCAACTCGCAGTACTTCCACCTGGCCGCGTGGGCCGTGCCCGCCGTCAAGACCATCACCATCCTGGCCATGGGCCAGGTGGACGGCGACCTGCTCAGCGGCGTGTGCTATGTTGGCCTGTCGAGCGTGGACGCGCTGCGGGGCTTCGTGCTAGCGCCCCTGTTCGTCTACCTCTTCATCGGCACCTCCTTCCTGCTGGCCGGCTTCGTGTCGCTCTTCCGCATCCGCACCATCATGAAGCACGACGGCACCAAGACGGAGAAGCTGGAGAAGCTCATGGTGCGCATCGGCGTCTTCAGCGTGCTCTACACGGTGCCCGCCACCATCGTGCTGGCCTGCTACTTCTACGAGCAGGCCTTCCGCGAGCACTGGGAGCGCACCTGGCTGCTGCAGACCTGCAAGAGCTACGCCGTGCCCTGCCCGCCGGGCCACTTCCCGCCCATGAGCCCCGACTTCACCGTCTTCATGATCAAGTACCTGATGACCATGATCGTGGGCATCACCACCGGCTTCTGGATCTGGTCGGGCAAGACCCTGCAGTCGTGGCGCCGCTTCTACCACAGACTCAGCCACAGCAGCAAGGGGGAGACTGCGGTATGAGCCCCTGCCGCCCCCTCCACACCACCACCACCACCGGGGTGGGGGAGAGAGGCGCGGCTGAGAAGGAACTGCTGGGGGGCGCGGGGTCGTTGACCTCCTCCCCCGCCCCCTCGAGCAGTGCCCTGGAAGGGAGCAGTCGGTCGCGGATTTGGGGCGCGGCGTGGGTTTGCGTGTGAGCCCCGGAGGGAGAGGCGGCTGGGGTGAAAGGACTTGGGGCGGGGAGGGGGAGGGGGCAGAGGGGGTAGGCTCCCCAGGGGTCGCCAACGCGGCCTCCGAGTCAGAAGATCGGGGGAAGGGCCTTGCGTGACCTGGGAGGCCCGGGTGAAAGGTCCAGCGCTGTCTGCAGCGGCCTCTTTGTTGGGAAGAGGGGGGACGCCCCGCGGTGTTCTTGTCAAGCGGTGGTCAAACCATAATCTCTCTTCACTGGGGCCAAACTGGAGCCCAGATGGGTTAATTTCCAGGGTCAGACACTACAGTCGCGCCTCGGCCAGGGCCCGCCTGCCTTTTCTCCCCCGACCCTTTCAAGTCTTGTAAAATCAGCATTTGAAAGTCTTGGGCGGCCTGCCTCCTAGAATCCTAATGTGGGGATGCCAGAGAAGGGACGCCAACGTGAGCAGGAGGAGACCAAGTAGTAGGCATTTCTGCTACTTTTGTATTTTCTGGGGGAAACACGAAGAAAGAAGGGTGTTTTATTGGATTTAATACCCTGGAAAGGAGTGATGACTTGTTGCTTTTCAAAACAGGAATGCATGCCCCCCACCCCCCCACCCCTGTCTTTGTTGCAAGAGACAAAAGGAAACAAAAGTCTCTCCCTGTGGAAAGGCTTCACTGTGAAGACGGCCGCTTCTCCAGGCCCAGGAGCGCGAGCCCAGCTTTCCCGTAGGATGTTAATTCGATTGCGATACACATTCCTTTTTTAAGGAAAAGTGAGGGGCTGCGGGCTCTCAGATCCCACCAAGGCCGAGGTTAGGACTTGGTTGAAGAAAATGCAAGGGGTAGTTGTTGTTGTGTTTTGTTTTCAGTCAATTTAATTCAGAACACATGGGCCAACAGACTTGGTTAAAATGGTCAGGGGAATCGCACCCCCGCCCCCTTTTTTCCCCTTCTTCCTAATAAGCCTGTGCTTAAGTTGTCTCTTTTTCTTCAACTTGAACCCTTAAAGATAAAAGGGAAAGTATATCATGACTGCAGCCTCATAATAAAGGACAATTTAAAAGAAAAGGAAAAAGAACCATTTTGCCCTGTTTTCTTAGCTGCATACATCTGTTTGTGAAACGTGGTGTGCGTGCTGACCCTGGTGGGGGTGGCGGGGTGTGCAGAGATGATGACAGTGAAGTGGGAAGCAAGTTGGAACCAGGCGCTTCACCCCACACCCCCACCCTGCTTTTTTTGCTTTTTTTTAAGGAGAGTCATTAAAAGAAGGTAAACTTCAAAGTAATTCTAGAGTTCTTTGAAATGTGCTGGATGACTTAAATTTATTAATCTTAAATCATATGCCTTTTTCTCTAATAGAACTCCTGATTCCTTTGCATAATGGTCTAAAAGCTGAGCAGAGAGTCATGGGAAGTAGCCTTTACGCCACCTTTTCGGCTGCCCTCCAATCGCAGTTTTAAAATAGCAGCCTCAGAAGAGGGGACTGCCGGGAGTCCGAGTGGCGTTGCAGTTGTAATGTTCAGTTGCCGTGAGGCTGCTTTCGCCAGGAAAGTGAGAATCAACTGTTTCTGAAGTGTCCCAAACGGTCTCTTCTGCCAGAATTTTTAAACGCCCACAACGCGGGTTGTGGGCATCTTTTGTGTTGTTTCACTTAAGTGCATGTGAAAATTGTAAAATAGAGACAAGTGCAGTATGTATATTTTGTAAATCTCCCATTTTGTAAGAAAATATATATTGTATTTATACATTTTTACTTTGGACTTTTGTTTTGCCTTTAAAGGTCTACAATGAAGCCCCCACTTTATCACATGTACAGATCACAAATAAATTTTTTTTAAGAACTACAAAGGTGAATGAACGTTCTTTAGTTGGCTAGTCCTATGTCTCATTAAGCCAAAGAACAGAACTTTGTGTTCTGGGAAGAAGGTGTAGAGAGACCACTTGGTTGTGTTCCTCAGTTGATGAAAGATGTTCTATATTGAAGTCTTTTTTCCCCTTGCCTTTTAAAATCGAGTGTGATGAATGCTCTGACGCCTCGTTGGTGTTGTTTCTTATTTTCCTGTTGTTGCTGCCTTCCTGCCTATACTCTCGACCCCTGTCTCTACCACCCCCACACCCCAGAAGTGTTTTCACAGTCCGGTCGCGATGACTTCTTGAAGGTATTGAATAAGCATTTCCTTTGGAGGATGTTGGTCTGAACCTGCAGAAGAAAGGCCTGGTGAACTGCTTCCATAAAAACTCAAGCAAAACCTCATGGGGCAGTTCTGTTCTGTGACACGAGGTCATGACACCAGGTTTGGTTTGGGCTTTTTGTTTTTTGTCTGATCTCGGCTTCCTTTAGGAGGTGGGAGTGTGTATCAGCAAGAAGCTGGGTATTTTCTGCGTTTCTGGTGGTGTATTCTTTGGGTAGAATTTAATGAGTTTTTATTTTTAACTTGATTGGTGACTTGTATTCTAACACACCTTATCTAAATGATTATACTTAAATGCTTTGTGTACTGGTGACAGGAAATGTCAGTAGATGTTTCCAGATTCTAAGAGAGGGCTTCTCAGCTGAAGGCTCACTCTCCCTTCTAGGTCAACTGAACCAGAGGTCAAGTGACCCCTGAGGTGGCAGTGGCTCAGCAGCTCAGCAAGGAATAGACACCAGGCCTGGCCCAGCGATGGCCTCTGAAGTCACATTGGCTATTCTTTGCTCTTGTAGGAGAGGCTAACTTTGGAATCGGATGTGATGAGACGCCTTGGCTACCCAGACACTTTGATATGGAGCAGTCCCTCAGGGAAATGACAAAGGCGTTCTAATAATTCCATTTCCCAGCCTCGCTTGCTTGAATTTTTTCACTCAACCTCTAAATTCAGGTGCCCGTATCCTGGCTTTTTACAATAGAGGCTCAGTGGCGTCCAGCAGCAGCAGCAGCAGCAGCAGCACCACATGCTGCTGTTTCTGCTTCCCAGCTTCAGCGCGAAAGGCCCGTACATCTCACTCTCCATAGAAACAGTTCCGTTTTTGTTTTAATTAACAGGCTCACACACATGGCTGTGTGTTTTACAAACACATGGAATGAAAACAGTGACAGACAGCTCTCCCCGGGAGGAGGAAGCCAGCCTGGGACGCAGCAAAGCAGCTTGCCTTTATGATGCTCTGGGTTTTGAACATCACAATGGGGGTGGGTGGGGAGCCTTCTTAACCAGTGAAGATTTGGGCATCAAGAAAGGAAAAAACAACAACAAAAACAACTTCAAGTCTCTTGAGATTTATCCAGGGTTTTTTGCTCATAAACTGACGCCTCCTAGGTTACAGCATGCTTGCTGCCTGTGAAGAATGTTTGGTTTTAGAGTAGGTGGGAGGCGCCCCACAGGGATTTTGCTCACAAATTAACTGCTAAAGACACTTGGGCGACCCGTCTATCAATCTATCTTCTCCTCCTCAGCTCTGCCTCATCCTTCAAGTCTCTCAGAGATGGGAAAGTGTTAGTCCGCGGTGAAGGAACAATGGCTGGCTGGGAATACAGCACACCCTGCTTTTCAGAAAGCAAAGATGACCGTGTCCCAGACGGCCTGCGCAGTTGATTCTAACGAAGCATGTTAGAAGCGTGGAGAGAAGAGTAAGGTGTATGGTGCGTCTTAGCAGGCAGTCTGTGAAGAAGAGTGTTTGTGAAAAGGGCCTGTTTGTAGTTTAAGAGAGCCTTGACAGACGCTGGGTGTTAATCCCTAGATAAGGAGCAGAAACACTTGTGAAAGTCTTTAGAAAACAAAACGAGTCTACAAAACAACCCCATTCAACACCTCCTCTCTTTGTGTAGATAAGTGAGAAATCTTGGCAATAAATAAATAAATGAACCATTGACACCTTACCACGAAAGGGAAAAAATTGAATTTTAAAATTGTGCTTAATATAAAATAGTGATATTAGAAATTCTCTTAGTAGGATTATGGGACTGTAACAGCTGTGGGTTTGCACTCTCTAATTATACTGGGGAAATCTTCCTGTCCCATCTTTAATTTCACTGAAAAGGCTATTTATAGATGGTATATTTTTATATATGCATATGTGGACGATGAATAACAGTCTACAGGACTCCAGGAAGCGTTAACATGAGAAGGGACCAAAACCATTCCAATATGACCTTCAATAAGCAATTCATAGATCTCTTCCATTTTTCTGTTTTCCCTCAGTGGCATTCAACTGATTTCATAAGATTTCATTCTTCTTCAACTTTTCCCAGTTTATGACATTTCTTTCCTCTGAATCTGAGTTCACATTCCATCTCACAGTGTACTAATTCAAAGGGTACAATAATCATCTAGAATCATGGGCAAATATGTATTATGCCTGTTATTCTCTTTGGCTGTTAAAAAGGGAGAAAAGAAAAGGCATTTTTCCAATCGGGATTCTTCCAGAGTCATAGACTAAATTAAGTTTGCCTAAGTCTTGGAAGCCCATGGGGGGCGTCCGCCGTGAGTCGGTATGACTCCATGGCAGGGAGTTTGGTTCTGATTTTTAAGATAACGGTAGTTTGTTAAAGCAAGTACTATGTCAAAGCCATAGCCACCAGCGACTCGTCCCTTGGAAATGCACATTCTGCTCTGATAGGGAGCAGATCTCAGTGGAGCTTCCAGACTCACGTAGACCCGTAGAAAGCAGATCTACTCCCAAAAATCAGTTCATGAAAACACGGGTCACAGCAGCTAAATCCCTAGCCAATCATGAATTGGGGGCAGGCTTACCAGCAGGGACTGTGACTTTTAGGGGCGCCTACAGCTGAAAGCAAGACAGGCTCTACATGGAGTAACTGTCAAGCCACTTGAAAGTGAGGAGAGCAGCACCCACGGGGGAGTAAACAGCTTTGAGAGGGCTTCAAAAAGCTCCTGAGAATAGGAAATGAAAAGATACTGCGATTTTTTCCATGAACTTTTTAAGGTTCCCTGGTATAATGCTTAAATCTAGTAAATGCCATTATAGAGGAACAAATGCCAGTGGGGACAAGACATTTGGTAGAACTTCCCCCCAAAACTCCAAATTCACTGTAGTTGACTCCA